CATATAATGGTTTAGCAATAATAGAGAAATTTTTAACAAATCTCCTAAAATAACTAGCTAATCCTAAAAAGCTATGAAGTTTGTTACATAACTGGTCAGACTGTTATCACTGTTGATAATATATACTTTTGTGTCTCGTGTATCTCATATATACTGTCTTATGTATAACTATTATTAATTATAANTTATGTATAACTATTATTAATTGTAATATCATGTATAATTAATATAATATAATTATCTTTTCATCTGTTCACATCTTATTATAGTTTAATTAAACAATAATATAACAAAGTTCTTTTGAATTTTTAGGTATAGGAAAGTTTTTAATGGTCAATATGTTATGGGGATTTGGTTTTATACCATTTACATCAACTTCATATCCTAAATAATGAATTTTTTGTTGTAAAAATGAACACTTGTCAAGTCTAAGTTTAAGAGAATATTGTGACATAATTTTAAAAATCTCAATAAGAATACTAATATTTTCATCAACTGTTACAGTACTTATTAAAATATCATCTAAATATATAATAATTTTATTTTTTTGAATTAAAGAATTAAAAATAGTATAAATATACCTCATAAAAATAGAAGGGCTATTACAAAAACCAAATGGCATTCTAGTATATTCAAATTGACCCATAGGTGTTATAAAAGATAAATATTTAATTGACTCTTCTTTAACTTTAACATGATAGAAAGCATTTTTTAAATCTAAACGGGTAAAATACACTTTATCTTTAAGCATATCAAGTGTGTCATCAATAATTGGCAGGGGAAATCTGTCCTTAATAGTGATTTTATTTAATTCTCTAAAGTCTACACAAAGTCTAAGATCATTTGTTTTCTTTTTTATTAAAACAATAGGTGAGCAATAAGGTGAATTACTAGGTCTAATAATTTTCTCAGCTAATAATTCATTAATAATAGTTTTAAGTTTCTCTTTTTCACTAAATGACATACGCCTAGGTCTAAAATAAAAAGGTACATGATCTTTAGTTAACTTAACTTCAAGTTCAAAAGGAGCCTCTAGTTTTTTAGGGTTAACAACATCATTTAAATAATAATTTTTAAAAATTATGTTCACCTCATCCTGAACATCAACACTTAAATTTTCATTAATATCTAATTTAATAGTCTCAGTCTTATCAATATCAATTAACATAATATCATCAAAAATAAAATCATCATTACTAACTTTTTCTATAAGTAAACTTTCTTCAAATGATAACTTAATAGATTTATCACAAATAAAATTTCTACCTAACAAACAGTCAGAATTCATTGTACCATTATCAACAACATAAAATAAAATATTTAACTTAGTATTTATACACTTAATAAAAACTGTTGAATTAAAGATACCTAATACTTTTAATTGGCTTTTATTAATACCAGAAAGATTAGAAGTAACAGAAGTTAAAATTAAATTAGAAGGAACAACATTTTCTTTAATTATAGAAATAGGGCTACCTGAGTCGATGACTGCATCCAATGTCCAATGTTGCATTTGACACTCAATATTAATACTCAGTGTATATGGTGGATAACATAACTCACTGATTTCTATCATCATTGTGGATTGCTCATCAGTTTCCTCTTCTTTTGTTTTCAGACTGTCATTGCAATCTTTTTGTCGATGCTCCATTGAGCCACACTTAAAACAGGAACCTGGTGCTCTTTTTGGTTTATTACAGTTTCGAATAGTGTGAGAAGTACTATAACAATTAAAACAGCGTTTCACATTAATTGTTATTTGATCTTTCTTCTTGTCTTCAATCTTTTTTTGTATTACAGTTGAATTGCTTTGTGAATACTTAAATAAACTATTACCTAAAACTATCCGCTTAGTACGTACTTTATTAAGATTTTCATAAGTTTGTATGTCATTAAAAATTTCATCAGTATCTTTATGATGTTTTGACAACAAGTATGTGACCATGTCACGTGAATAAAAACCTTCTAATAATTGTGTTTTAACTTGATCAAATGATAAATTTAATTCACTACATAAACGTACCTTCTCATAAAAATAATCAACAGTAGGTTCGCCTTTTAATTGTACTCTAGAGACTAAATTTTGCCACAATTCAGTAGTATTTTGATCACCAATAAATGACTTTGTAAATTGTTTTTCAAATATTTTCCATGAAGAAAAAGTACGACTCTTAAACCACTGTTGAGCTGGTCCATTCAAATTTGCTCGAACAGACTCAATCTTTAAAGACCACTTGTTAATATCAGCTATACCATTAAATGTATTTAGCCAATCTTTGGCTTCTGATCTAGACTCGTGGCCCGTAAATGGTTTTATACTTTTGTTAAGATCTGGCATAACATAAAATTGATTACCTTGGTTACTCGTAGTATTAAAAACAGCGAGTTGTTGCATTAATAAACGATTTTGTTCCATCAATAATTGAAACATGGTGTTCATATTAGATGTAGAAGGCTCTTCAAAAGTATCACTGGTAATCACTTGTTGATCAACCTGAACCGTGTCGCCATGCTCTCGATTTTTATCCAAATCCATCATGGAAACGGATTTTCGAAAACCACTTCTGAGATTGTAGGAGGCCATATAATATGGTATATTAAAAGAGGAACAGATAACTGTGAAAGGTGAACATATAAAAAAAATAAAACTAGTTGGTTCTTTAAAAACTCTTAAAAAAACATAATTGTATTTTCATAAAAAAATTAACATCAACGTCATAATAATAATTTCGTAATAGTAATATTAACATTGCATAATATATATCATAACATAATAAAGATAAGGGTTGTGGCCAGTGCCACCAACCAATGCCTACACATAATACAAACATACAAACACGATGTTTTCACCATCAAATCGATGAAAATAACACTAAATCGTATTGACGACAAACATGTTATTTTACCAAACCGAATAAATACTCGCGCCTATGGTCATTATCGACTTAAGTATGCACTTCGTTCGTTCGTTGTAAATGTTATAATTTATTATTAATGTATATTTTTATTCTAGCAAACCGGCAGATCGAGAACCATTGAATACCAGTAAAATAACATAATATAATTATTTTTTTTGAAAATAATTATGACAAATTATTATAAAGACTATTAATGTAAAAATAAATATTTGATCACTGTTGCATAATATTCACTTTATTTTAAAAATAATTTTATATTTCACTAATTAGTAATTTATACACTATTTACGACATTCGAACTTCACTACTAAATGGATTATACTGTATTATACGGTCTTGTATAATTAGACAATACGCCGTGGTTTTGGCAGAGTCGAATTTTTTTTTTTTTACTTTGTATAGAGTGTGGAGTTTTTTTATTTATTAGTAATCGTTTTTTACCAACACTGCCAATTGTTTTTTTCGCGTGATTATTAGTAAATTTTAAACCCATTAAATATCGCGTTTCAAATGTAAACGTACCGATAATGGCTCTCCTCTTAAATCGATTAATTTTCCGTCTTGATCATTCAATGTTACCCGTATTTGACTTATAAATATAGTGTTTGAAGGATAATAAATGGGTTTTTCAATAATTTGGGATCGATGAAATCCCGGAGGAACGTTCATGAAAAATTCTTATAAGGTATAATTTGGTTAACCGTAATCGAATGATACGGAAACCAGATTATAATGAACTTTTATAGAATTAATGTTCATAATGTTTTCATAATGTTTTGAAACGTGTTTATCAGCCGCGTAAATTTTTTTCCCAAAACCTATTAAGTCGGCGATGCTATCTTTTTTTTTTTTTTTTTTTTTACTCCGACCGGCGCAATGTTCGTACGCGATGTTCCACAGCAGAGGCCCGAGAACCGACCCTTGCGGGACGCCTCCCGTAACAGGTAGGATTCTCGGGACCGCGGCGCTCTCGTAAGAGATGACCCGATCGCTAAAGTACAACCTGATCATCCGCCCGAGGTAAGGAGGCACCCGAAACGCGTCCAGCGCTCCGAGGATGTGTGACCATCGCACGGAGTTGAACGCGTTTCGGATGTCCAAGCTCACCGCCACCCCGAAACCCTGCTCAGTTTTGGCCTTGAGGGCCAAGTCCCTGAAGAGGGAGGCCGCGTCATCCGTCGACCTCCCCCTCCGGAAGCCGAACTGGCCCTCGGCCAGTCCGCCGACGTCGGCCAGGTGGGCTTCGATCCGGGTGACGAGCAGCCGCTCGAGGATCTTCCCCAAGTCGTCCAACATGCAAAGCGGTCGGTACGACGAGGGGAGACCCTCGGGCTTGTCACCCTATCTCAGAAGTACCAGCCTGGCCTTCTTCCATTTCGTGGGGAATTCACCCTCCGAAAGGCACAGGTTCGCGACGGCGCGTATCCAATCCGGGGCGAGGTCGTGGACCAACCCCCACACCCGGTTTGGAATCCCGTCGGGGCCGGGAGCTGTGTTCCGGCCCCGCACACGCGCCACCGCGTCAGCTACTTCTTGGCTGGTGAATTCCACCACCGACACGTCGTCCCCAAACGCCGGGGGAGGCAGGGGCAGATGTGTCGGAAAGAGCGTGTCTACCGCCCTTTCCAGCACTTCCGCCTCCAGCTGACCCGAAGCCGGTGGACCGCGGAGCTTCCGCATTACAACCCGATAGGGTTTCCCCCACGGGTCGTGGTCCACCGACTTTACGAGTTCGGCCCAGCATTTCGCTTTGGCCCGCCTGATGGCGAGCTTCAGCTCCTTGCGGGCCGACCTCAGCGCCTCCCTCGGGTCCGGGGATTCCAGGTCCCGCGGCCAACGGTTGGAGCGCGTCATAGTCCTTCTGACTCTGACGCACTCCTCACGCCTGGCCGCCACCTCGGCGTTCCACCAGTGGACTGGCGGTCCGCGAGTCGACGGCGGTCGTTTGGCCGGAAGGGCGAAGTCGCAGGCTGCGACCACCCTCCGGTCCAACTCTTCCGCCGCTTCGCTCGCCGAGACGCGCCGGTCCGGTACCACGGGCGCCGACCATTGAGCGAGCAGTAAGGCCGTCTCAAAAGCGTCGACGTCCGTGGCCGGTCCGACCCGCCAACCCACTCGCCCATCGCGAGACGGCACGCGGGGCACGGCTCGAGGGGGACGGCCGCCATCGCCGCACTTGTACATGATGTACCGGTGGTCGCTGAGGATTTCCCTGTACGGGAGAACCGACCAGCCGGTCACGTGCGGGTGCAGCGACGGGGACACCAGCGTGACGTCCACCACCGAGCTTGAGGAGTGACCCTCGAACGTCGGGGTGGATCCATTAATGTGCCCATACTCCAGACACCTGTAGCACTGAGGACCTTTGTCAATGATCCTCAGTCTACAGGTTGTCCAGCCGACTTTTATTCGGCTCACTGTGGTAAGCCGATTGGTNTTCGGCTCACTGTGGTAAGCCGAATGGCAACCTTGACGGGCACGTCACATCTCGCGTAACGCCCCTTGCCTCCAATGTTAGACCGTATGATAACGGGCCCAACACTTGGACATTCCAGAGCATCGCTTAGAGACCGACGCACCTCGTCCTCTTCGTGCCAGTCCTCCACATCCCTGATTATGACAGTGCGGGTCATCGAAGGGCGATGCACCCGCACGTCCTTCTCTTTGAGCGCCTCCTCCAACTTGGCGGCTAGTAAATCCGCTTTCTCGGCGGTTCCTCGAACCTCCAGCAGAACGGCCCCCGTCTGAGTCCTCCGGGTCCCGGACACCTGGATACCCAAGGCCAGAAGGTCCATGGAGGCCGTCGCCGTCTTCATCACTTCGGCATACTTCAAGTCCCCCTTCAAAGGGCCGATAATCACAGCCTCCGTACGAGGGACCCTCGCCCGCAACTTTTTTGCGGTCGGACCTCGTGTAGGCGGTGGAGGTCTAGGCCTAGTTGCCGTTTCCTCGGTCTTCCCCAGTTCACCCTTGCGACGAACCACCTCCGTCCAAGTGAAACTCTCCGTCTCTGCTCCTGTGTCCGCACTCGCCGGAGCGGACTTTGCAGCAGCAGTCCCCCGATCCGAATGCTTCTCGGGAAGCGTAACGGTCGGCGAGGATACGGCATCCTCGACAGTGTTCAGTCTCTTCTCCTTCTTCTTCTTTCGCTTCTTCCCAGGCTTCGTCAGCGGATCTGACCTGGGATTTGGGAGCTCCTCCGTTGTTTGTGTGGCCACATTCCTCCTCAACGCCATATCAGACGTCCCGGGCCTATTTGATTGCGGTCCAACCGCCGTTTGCGTTCCCGCGTCCGTTGTCGGCTTCCGTTTCGCGAAAACCGGAGCTAACGTACCAGAACCCCTTTCCGGCGAGGCTACAATGGTCCCCGAGCGCGGTGTCGCTCTCCTGCGCTTTTCCGTAGCCAGGATTTCCTCCAGCTTCTTGGTCGCCTCCTGGACTTCCTTGTGGACGCCCATCCCTCTACGCTTATCAATGACTCCGCGGAGCACTGCGACTTGTCCCGCTATGTTTCCAACCAAAGCCGATTGCGCGGTTGCTTCTTCCTCGGAGTCATGCCTCTTCTTACGGCGTGGCATGTCCGAACTTCGAAGTTCGGTCAGCGCTTGGCAAGAAAGAGATATCTGCTCCAGTAAGTACTGCAGATGAGTACCTGGAACCTCTTTCATGAGGCTACCCTCCACTTCGGCCTGTCTGGTCAGGCCGACGACATGATTCAATCCGACGTCGAATGTCGCTTCATCATCACTCTCTTCGTTACGAAGTGGCGCCTTCCTCTTCCCGGGGTAACGCTTTGGGGGCGTCTCCTCCGGCAGGGGGCTCAAAGGTGGGGAGACCTCACGGCAAGGAGCGGTCGTCGCCTGCCCGAGAGAAGGCTCAACACCACTCACGCCAGGCCTAACACCTGTCCTCATTGTTTCGTCCTCGGATAGACTATTGTCTTCTTCGGACGATTCCTCCACAACTCCGGGTGCCGTTTCCGCGACGACGCATTCGTAGTCGAACACATCAACGACATCCCGGAGTCCAATCCCCATTGCTTCCATCATCGGATCCTTCCTATGGCGCGTCAACAGTTCCCGGCTGACCAGCCGGGCAATTTGGATCGCACGGTCCGCCGTGCTTTCGCCTCGAAGGGAGGAGACGCACTTACTCATAAGGCATACTCGCTCCTCTTCCCCTTCTACTCCATGGAAGGGGTTATAAACCTCCTTGCGCTCCGGAGAGAAGTTGCCTCCGTTTTGGACGTCCCTGGTCATCATCCCCAGTATAGTGTCCACTGCGCCCTTAAAGACGCCTAGGTTGCGGAATCTTTGACGAGGGAAACAGTTTTCGACCTCGCTTCCGTCCGGGAGTCCCCTCGGCCTTTCCCCCTTTCTTCTTGCCAGGGGGAGCCTTCTTTCCAGGCCCCCCTTTGTCTTCGTGGCCTTTGAGGNGGAGCCTTCTTTCCAGGCCCCCCCTTTGTCTTCGCGGCCTTTGAGGCCGGCCCCGCACCCGGACAGTCCTTGGCCTGGTGCCCCTCCTTTTTACAGGAGAAGCACCCCTTGGACCTGTCCGGTCCCTTGCACGTCTGAGCCACGTGCCCGTGCTCCAGACACCTGTAGCACCTCGGACCCTTGTCGCCAAGGATCCTCAGCCTACAGGTGACCCAGCCCACGCGGATACG